ATTCCCCCGTTCCGCGTTAAAAAGATACACATCCTAGATGTATCTGGTCTCAGCTTGAGGTCAGATACATCTAGGGGGTCCAGTGTTCTAGGAACGGCGGAACCCTAGGAGCTAAAAATTTGGACCGGATTTCGACCCAAAAACTTAATTTTAATTTCGTTCAAAAAATATAATATGTCCGTTTTGACGAGATGGCCGTTACTGTACCAGCATCACACCGTCCTCATCGTATTATGTCGTCCGATACGAGAGTCCAACTGAGTAAAATCTCACTGGCTTCCGTAGCACTCCAAGAATCTTCAAGCGTTCGTGCTTGCCATCATCCGTTGAACATAACATCATCTTCCGTGCAACATAACTTCATTCAAACCAAATATCGTGCTCACTCTCACTGAGGCTACTGCCTCCAACATTCTAGGATCTAACTGTCATTACTTCCTGCTTTCCTAGGACATGTATGCTAGTTAGTTGTTTTTGCTTTCACTTAGGCTGTTAGTTGTGACATTGCTGTTTTTGTGACATTTTCTATTTTAGGTTGCATCGCATGGACTCAGCATGGAGCTTGCTCCGCATCCTAAACTACTCAGGTTTTCTTTTTATTTGGTAGAGTTCCGCTTCTTGGCGGAAGCGTGCTTGTATCTAGGCAATCCATCACAGGCTGAGGATCGTGTAGCGGACCTCTGGTTGGCTTGTGAGACCAGCCCCTTGGCCTGTTCTCACAGGCCTGTGTTGTAATCGAGGCAGTCCATTCCAGGCCGGTACCTTTGTCAGTACCAGCCAGTCCAGTCCATTCCCGTTAGTCCGATGGGGTATACCCCAACTGTTGTCTGTTTTCCGATTCATTCAGCATTCACACACTTTGGAGTACGTGCGTTGGAGTCTGGTGCGGGAGCTGCGCTATGCCATCTCGCTCCCCCTTCTTCCTCCATCTCCATGTCTATCCCCGGCGGAGCACCACACCTGGTGGGTCCGCCACAAAGAAGTAGGGGACCGACCCGAATTCCGGAAGATCAATTATCCCTCTCTCTCAATCCTAAGCTGCTGCAGCAATGCGTGTTTCTAAAAACGAAACACTAAGAGCAATCCGCGCGCCAGAACCGAGACAATAAGAATTTTACTTCTCAAGGAAATCAAGAGACAACTAAGCGATCAAAGAAATGCAATGCACTAAAATACGACAGACTAGCCTAGAAAACAGCTAGAAAATGAAGAGTATGCTCTAGACTTTGTAACTGAATATGGCCACAGAAACAACCAGGTTCAGTGTTCAAAGCAGAAGGGCTAAAATTTTAGACAACAATGACTTATACCAGGGAACAATCATACCCTAAAATAAAAGCAAAAGAGTCAAAATCGAAATTAAGCCCATCTATCCTATCATAATACCAATTAGCAAGCAGCTTCTTCTATAGATTATGTCGTCAGCCCATGATGGCTGTTCTTGGTATTGCCCGTAGTTCATCTTGATGTTGGCCATGACGGCTGCCCTTTTAAACGACGGATCCAGAGACCTTCAGATGCCGTGGTGTCATCGCCAGCGCTCCCACTGTCACCAAAAGTTGCTCCCACTACTCTCGGTGACATCGCTAGGACAAAGCAGAGCTCCCTCGGTCGCAAGGCCACGCCACGCAGCCATTAGATGGGGAGAAAGGAGCCCCCCTGCCAGCTAAATGCCTGAGGGGAGGACAGCTCGTCTGGTGTTAAGATCCTGTTAGGCTGTTAGGTATTTAGGTTGGTATGAAGGTCGGATACAAGGCTGCCAAGATGCCTTGACGTACAAGTGCAAAGGCACTCCCTAACCCACTCAAGGGCTACGCTACGCCAGGGCACTATCGCCATAGCTCTCACACAGCTATGGTGCTTGGCAGGGCAGGCGCCTCATGAGAAAAAAAGCATCGACATACGCAGACGTTGCGACCTACTCGGCCGCTATCGCCACTTCGTTGCTAGCACATTCGCGCGGCCCCCTCCATAATGCTTGTTTTGTGCTGGTTCAGTAATGCTTTTTTTTCTTTTTTTTTTTTAAACAACAACTCTTTGGACACTAGCCAAGAGGAGTGGACTGAATGCCTGAATCTGAACGTGTTTGTGAAAATCTGCAGAAAATGAATATTGAACTGCTTTTTTTTTTCCCCTTTTTTTTGCATCTCTCTCTTCGCTAGTGGGACCTCGCCCCTGCTCATTCAAGAATGGCACGCACAATTGAAACTGTAATGCGCCCTGCGATGAACCACCAGGGCGGGGAAGTGCCTGCCTCATTCCCATTGGGTGCAGCATATGATGTGAGGGATGCTGGGCTTTCGGATGAAAAAATAAAAAAAAAGGATGCTGGGCCCGGTTCCAAGGTTATACAAAACATGGGACCTTTTTCTTCAAAACAAAAAAAGAGAGAGAGAGGGCATCGTTAGACACTCCTCAGGTACATGAAATCCACAAGGACGCGCTCGTTCCACCTGTCCTTGGGGACAAAATTGAAAAAGAAATGTGAAAACGCCACAAGGAA